AAACCACGTATCTCCATTGCGATATTTCAAAACTTCTGCTCCTACTTTATTCTTATGAAGTGAGATGAACCAACTTCATAGCTTGAAATTAATACAGAATATCTTGCCGACAGAGAAGAAAAATCAAGGAGAATTTCAAGAAATTTCGTAGACTGATTTTCCAAAGAAAAAATAAATTATAATAGGAAGTCTGCAACGCCGCTAACGGAGATACGTGGTTTCGCATTGTGGTCATCGGTATTCTTCATAATGTCACACTGAAACCTAATCAGGAGCAAAATCATTGATTGTCTGATTGCTGAAGAAGTTTAGAGTCAATCCTTGGGGGGGAGAAAATGGTCTACGATACGTCCTCACATTTCTGAAGATTTCGGCTCCCCCCGGTCAACAACCGGTTGTGCTTTTGGTGTCGTAGCCGTGTGCAAAAATTATCAAGTAGCTTGGGTCGCTCTGAAGTGGAAATAAATATAGGGGGAACTGACCTCCGAAGAGGGCATTGTCCACAGTAATAACCGGCCAAAATTCATCTGTACCGTGTAATTATCCGACTCAAATTCTTAGATGGACGAAATCCAATCGCAATGTCGAAAAGTTCCCGCCTGAAACTGGTTGGGAGGACCTCCGCGAATAGCGCCTGCCACCGCGCCGTCGATCGCGTCGGGTCTATCTCCGATTAGAGTCTTTCGCATATCGATTAATTCATCGATTAAACAATGATTTTCGATTTGATTTATTATAATAGATCCCTAAAATTTAACACTGATTAGTCGAAAATTAACGAATTCCCAGTTCCGAGGTTAAATTTCTAAAAATCAGTCAAAGCCTCCAAACATTCCAGAACTAGAATTTTGAGGCCTCGCAATGGAGATACGTGGTTTCGCACTTCGACCGTCACTATACGCGCATCAATCGAATGAACAGTTGGTGTATCGATTAATTTTGATTTGATTTGATTATTAATCGATTATTCCTTACGTTGGGTGCAAAAAAGGCACTTTTTGGTTACGGTGTCTCATAATTTTCACTATTAATTTATATTTTAGATAGGGAACGTTTCACTGAATTTCCTGAAATATTTCGTTTTCAGCATTGTAAAACTATGAAGAAAATACTGCAAGAGTTTCAACGAATTCCATTCATTTGCCGTAAGTATAATAAAAGAAACGTAAGTGGATATTCTGAGAAACTGCAACCATGCAATGTCCCTTCTGCATCTAGTGCTTCACGTTTTATCATTCAAAATTCGATTGATCGATTAATCGAAAGACACGAAAGAGAAATTTTCGGCTCGAAAATTGCCTCGGCGACGTAACGCAACACCACGGTCTTCCAACGCAACAACTTTAGGAAGGGGGCGGGGGGGGCGGCACGAAGGAAGAGAGGAGGGGGCGATAAAGGATAACGAATGGCCGTGGGCAACAAGCTTAGATTGGCCTAAACTTGGCTTAAACGAGCGGGCGAGCGTCTCCAGGTCGGCGCCAGGCGCGTTTCGGCGTGAGCTCCGCTGCGAGGTTTTTCGGGCGAGGCGAGGGCTCTCCGCGGAGACAGCGGATGATTCTCTCGGCCCGGAGCCGCTCAGAAGTATCATCTCATCCGCGTTAATACCGCCAAGAATGATGGTGTGAAAAATTGCTCCTTCCTCCTCCGACTCCGCGTCCGTAATTCCGAGAGCCGGAGAAAGGACATCTACCTCGGACCGCGGTTCTTCTGCTATGATTGCATGAAATTGAGCCGACACGTGGGGTTTTTGAAAATGGAACACCCCTTATCGTCGTTTCTTGGGGGTAAGAAAAGTAAATCCTAAGCTCCGAAAATCCCTCAAAACCCGTATTTTTCGCCAAAATCGGCCTTCCAACCGATATTTAAGCCAGTATTAGACCCGAAAAAAGACCATGAATGACCAACTCATGAGGCATTCCGTAATATATTGACCTTCAATGAGAAACAAATCGTAAAGTTCAGGAAATTCAGGGTGTGTCCCACAGTGGCCCTTTTCGATATACCCAACCGCCTCCGCGTTGCGTTACTGGTGCTTCACAGCCGATGTCATTGAGATGTAATATTATTATAACTAACGATTTTTTTTAAAGAAACTATGACGGACAGCAGTCCCCGCAGTCGGGAGAAATTCGACTGTGTGCGGATATCGATAGGTTGTTTCTTCCCTGCACGGTTGGCCGTGGCAGCGTGGGACCACAGGCCCAATTAACGGGTGGTTTAACAGGTGAAATAAAACACCTCAGCTTTTACTCCGGTTCCGTCCCGGGTCCTGGATTAGCTCTCATCGTGCTATTCCCTTGTGCTAGGTAGAAACGCCCTATGGACATCCGATTGTTGCCAGATTCCTCCCGATGAGACATTTATTTATTTATCGTACCGCAACCAAGGAATGTCCTTTCTGCACCCAACGTCTGGCATTCAGTAATCGACTCCTAATCGAACCGAATCAAAATTAATCGATACATAGAGTTTTTTGTCGTTTGTCATGAAATACCTGGAAAAATTCTTATTCTTAGAAGCTTAGCCTAACTCGTACTTCGCAAAAAACCCAAAAATAATTTTTTCATTGACTTTTCAGGAATTTTCACTAAATTTTTTATGGTAAGAATCGTCGCTCGGGCGCAAAGACATCATGAAACTTTATGAAATGAAATTTCATGCAAGTTTTTTTAAAAATTCTGCCATGGACTATGTATGCCACGAAACGCACAGAAACGGTAACATTTTAATTTTGAAGGGGGGGGGGGGAGTCAAAGTTCCAAGTCCTCATCGAATCCTCGGATAAGTTTTGTGAGTTCCATACGCAGTCCGTGAAAAATCGTTGAAATTTTACGAAAAAATAAATTTTATTTTGCATCTCTGGAGACTAGATTCCTGACTAATTGTAAGAGTGGCGGTTGTAAAATCACCCATTGACGCTTACCAAGTTGGTTCGGAATATCGATGGTCAAAATGCGAAACGACTTATCGCCATTGCGGTGCGTTCTAAAGCTTCCCCTCCTATTTTATTTTTTATTTTTTTGGACGAATTAGCCAACACTAAAGTTTGAAAGTTATACGCAGAATATTCCGCTAACAGTCAAGGCAATTTTAAAACAATTACGTTTCCGAAGAAAAAATAAAGTATGACAAGTCTGCAACGTCGCCAGCGGAGTTACGTGGTTCCGCACTTAAGCCATCTATATCCACCCTTTAATTGGAAGGGAAAGTACGGAAATCCTGCCCGAGGAAATTTGGCAGTGTCTGAAGGTGCATACGATGTTTTTCCTCAGGACGGGAGTATCGTGGTCCTGTTCCACGAGGGCCGCGATATCATTAGCATCTCGGAGCCGGGATCTTGAATCTGGGATCCGAGATTTGAGTTTCATGATCTCGGGTGTCGTGTCCGTGCTGTGCTGTCCGTGCGCTACGCCACGGCCGCGCGCTTCGTCTCGGCACCGTTACGCCCGTTACGGCCGAGGATCCTGAGGAACAACGCTGTACGGCCATTCCAACATTGCCAAATTTCCAGAGGTTCTGGGGAAACATGTTCCATTCCTTACCCGCCTGTGGATCTAGGAATAGAGTTTTATGTTAAAAATCGAGGGGCGGAATTCGGTACCGGAGCCCAAAAACCCCGAGTGATGCACGGAGAAAAAAACCTCGTGCGTGGGACCCGAAGTTTAGGTCAAATGGATCTCTGAAGTTTTCAGATTGAGCCTCTGAACACTTTAGGTCTATAGCTGTCGAGGTTCGGATCACACATCTGAACTTCAGTTCTTATGTCTGAAGTACTTCAGATATGAGAACCGAAGTTTTTCGGATGTGAGAAAAGTACTTCAGATGCAAGAACTGAAGTTTCAGATGTGTGATCCAAACCTCAGCAGCTGGACCATAAGTGTTCGGCTGCTCAATCCGAAAACTTCAGAGATCCATATGACCTAAACTTCGGGTCCCACGCACGAAGTTTTTTTCTCCGTGTAGAATTTCCTTATTGCTATAATTTACTTTCACACGCACAAAAAAACTGATTTCTAAATGTTCATAAATTTACGGCACATGAAAAAGATATCTTGCAGAAAATTCAAATTGAATTATCGGGATAAATTAGTCTCGAAGCGAGAGAACAAAAAATTCCTGGCTTCTAGAACAGATTCCCTGATTTTCACTGAAATTTTGCGTGATGAATTCCGGATTTCCCTGGGTTTTCCCGGTCTAGACACCAATAAGATTGAAAGCTGGTGTACATTTAACACAAACTTTCAATTATGATATAAAATCAAAGGAGAAACTCGCAACGCACAACGCGTGAGGCGCGAAGCACTTTGGGGGGTCCGGCTGAGCCGCAGGCAGTCAGAGGGCCCCCTTGTTTAACAGAACAATATTACTTCAAGAATGTGTCTTAGCGGGGGGTTCAGGATTGCCACAGAATTTGGAAGTTGAAACTCCCTGAAGTATACCTGATTTCCCTGACACGTTTGAGTGAAATTCCCTGACAATTGAAGATATGTCAGATGGTTAAAAGGACATAATTTGAAAAAGTTTTCGGACAAAATATTTTGTTCAAAACGTCAAACCCATTCTAAAAAGCAAATAAAGGTGTCTTCACAAATTTTCCCTGACAGTTTCATCATTTTCCTTGATAGTCTCATCGTTTTCCCTGATTTTTTAAAATTCCCTGACATTTCCCGGTATTCCCTGTATTCCTTGATGTAGGCAACCCTGGGGATCTCGATGCTGAGTTCACATGTTATGAGAGCGTGTGAGAGAACCTTACCTGATTATTATGCGTGGAGCACTTGGGTATGACATCCCTCCGCTGGCGTGACATGAGGTCGAGTAGCTGGTTGACTAAGAAGGAGGGTGGGAGGGCGGCGACGCCCCCGCGAGGGATGGTGATGAGTTCGCGACATATCGGACACCTGAACGTCCCTGTGTCCCTCGTCTGTGAGGCGGCGATCCGCGTCAAACAGTGCAGGCAAACCGTGTGAGAGCACGGCAGCAACTTCGGCGTGTGCTCGCTGCCATCGTACATGCCTGTCAAACAAAACAAAAAAACCAAAATCGGTCACTAAACTTCATATTTTTTATGATATTCTGAAAGTACATGGTGAGTAGGTAATGCAGTGATTTGCTACACTGGAAAAAAAACCACATTGGATCTAGAGTTCAGACTCTTAAAACCATCGACAAGAAAAAATACTCTTGATTCAATCGGATTTTGGCTTGAATCAAGAACCAAGCCTCTTAATTTGAGCGGATTTCCTTTTGATTTAAGCAAAAATCCGATTGAATCAAGTGTATTTTTTCTTTTCGATGTTTTTAAGAGTCTGGACTCTAGATCCAATGTGTTTTTTTTTCCAGTGTACGTATTTTTCGAGCCAAACTCCTCGGAGCAAACCGCTTTGAAAAAGTCTAATACAAAAAGGATAGACTGATTAGTAGTGACTTTGTCATTCGATATAATATCGAACTCTTGGTTCAAAACAAACTAACAACAGAAATAGAAGCCAAAGAAACTGCCCCCCACCCAAGAAAAAAAAAAAAAAACTAACATAACCTCATGTGCGAATTATTCAAGAGTAAATTGTGTTAATTTATTAAAATTTAGTCATTGACCGGTCATAAACCAATTAAATACTCATTAAATACGAGAACTTACGATTGTAAACAACACGTGGACGCATTATACCACCATGCTGCACAGAGCGCAAATCAGAAACAAGGCTCTGTGTTTGTTTACATTTGAACCAAGGGTTCAATATTATATCGAACGACGTAGCCACTAAATCAGTCTATTCCAATGGAAGGGGGGGGGGTGAATGGCGGGAAAATGATGGCAGTAAAAAACTATGATAATCAAATCGCGATCTCCCCTCATTTTGCGGAAATGCGTATTAAAATGAAACGCATTTTAAAGTGGCATTGTGGTTTGTTTACTACTAGTGACATGAACAAGATCCGATACGATTTTATTCAGGAGGTGGTTATGACCTTCATATTGTTTTCATGCACGAAGAGTATAAAAACATTTGACTAAAGTCGCAGGAACCTGTGCTCTCTTCTACAACTTTATGGCCTGGTGTAAAAATACCTAATTAAACAAACCTCTGAGCAGTACCACATTATTAATAGATTATTTAAAGTCTATCTCATACTTTGGTGCCGGATGATGTCATCCGATCTGGCTCGAGACCGGTGCGTTTTTTTGCGGAGAATTTTCTCATTTTGAACTGTGTATTCCTCGGTTTCAGAGTAACTTTCTCACTTTTTGATAAGCACATCGTATACTGCGCGTCATTCATTCACCATAAGAAAGTGTACTTGCAGGTCAAAATTCACTCGAGGCTAAGTGACCCATTACATTAGAACAACTTGCTACTGGAGGGAATCAGAAATTTTTCAAAAACGGGGTCTCTCATTCCATCAGGGATGCACAAAGAGCCAATCAAGAAATATCTCTTTTAGGAAGAACTTAGGGATTTCGTGCAAGTCTGGCCTACACGAAGCTCCATGATCCATTATTGAAAGTTTTAGTTTAAGTTCGAAGCTCGTTTCGGCAATTCAGCGTTGGAAAGTTTGTACATTTTAATTCTGAAAAATGCTAATATCTTCAAAACCACTCCTCTCTTCTAAAACGACTTCAGTTAATTCAGAATTATTTTCTGAGGCACAGTATCAACAGTAAATGTTACTGAAGGATGAAATGAAAAAGATTATTAACTCTTTTCGACTGAGTCCAATAAGTTAACGCCGAGTTCGATCGGAAGAAACACGTGATACAACAATTTTGACTTCCGAGAAGATACAATTGCATATCCACGAAATGAAGGAGAATCGTATTTCGACTGGCTTAGAGACTTCAACGCAGGGGTAGAAAGGTTTGATGGGGCAAAACGCGTGTTACAACTATTCCGACATCCGAGAAGATGAAATTGCATGACTACAAAATGGAGGAGAATTTCTTTCTGACTGACTCAGAGACTTTAACGCAGGAGTAGAAAAGTTTGATGAGGCAAAACGCGTCAACTATATTTCGACTTTCAAGAAGATAAAATCGCACATCCACAACAAGAAGGAGATCATAGTGCTCTGTGTTATTCGAAAAATTCGTTTCGTCAATACCCAACTAAGCGGTTCGTGTAATTAAACGTTCGGTTTGTATAAACAAACTTATGAAAGAAGATTGGTTACATGAACCAAACGTTAGGTTACACGAATAAAAAAGCAGTGCGAACGCACTGGTTTTTGAATCTTAAATTTCAGAAAAAATTACAGCAAAAGCTTTTTTATTTATTGAGAAATTTACTACAAAAATTAAAAAAATTACTGCGGTTGTGCGGTCTAAAATAACCACCCGTTTCAACCAATAGAATTGCTCCATTTCCCTTTGTCTTCGTTGTTATCCATTTCAATAATCATCCCGCAGGTGAATGAAAAATACAGATACTTACACAGGCAGGTGCCGCAGGTGAGAAAGCTTTCATTAAAATCTTCATAGTTAATGGAGACCGTTTCAACGAGGGTTGAGTTCATTCTACACCCAGTTCTGAAACAGAAAAAAGACGAACATCTGCCGTTAGAGAGCTATTAATTCCGAAAAAGATAAGACCTCATTGACATAGCTTATCATCAGGGGTCACACTTACTTGGCACCCCTCGGGCGAAAAAAAAATGAACAAGTTCGTCGGTAGCCATTCTTGCAAGTTGGTAAAACCGCATGGTTTCACCAATTTATATGCCTGAAAAACATTCGACAAACCTATACTGAGACAGGCTGCCTCGCGTATAGAGTTGATTTAATTTGATTGCTTTAAAGGGAAGGAAAAACAGTGTTATCGATAGTAATAATCGCCGCTTGAACAGAGTTCTGGAAAACCAAGAATTTCAGCAAGTCAGGGAATTCTTCCCCCGATTTTGTGGACAACATGTGTATTGCTGTGTGCAACACATACTCATTCTGATGTTTATTCCTCTCTTTCAATATTGCACTTCAATTTTTAACCTCCAGTGGCCATAATCAGAGGGTATGGATTCGATCGACATGAATCGATCGAAAAATATAAAGATAAACCGATCGACATGATTCGATCGACACCGATTTGACCGACAAAATTCGACCGATTCATGGGTTTGCCGATCGACTCGCGGGTTTTGTCGATCGATTCACGGACTTTATCGATCGATTAAAGGATTTTGACGATCTATTCACGAAGTTGTCGATAGATTCACGTACTGGAAAAAAAACACATTGGAGTCCAGACTCTTAAAAACATCGACAAGAAAAAATACTCTTGATTCAATCGAATTTTTGCTTAAATCAAAAACCAAGCCTCTTAATTTGAGCAGATTTCCTTTGGATTCAAGCAAAAATCCGATTGAATCAAGAGTATTTTTTCTTGTCGATGTTTTTAAGAGTCTGGACTCNTTCATATTGTTTTCATGCACGAAGAGTATAAAAACATTTGACTAAAGTCGCAGGAACCTGTGCTCGCTTCTACAACTTTATCGCCTGGTGTAAAAATACCTAATTAAACGAACCTCTGTACAATACCACATTATTAATAGATTATTTAAAGTCTATCTCATACTTTGGTGCCGGATGATATCATCCGATCTGGCTCGGAGACCGGTGCGTTATTTTGCGGAGAATTTTCTCATTTTGAACTGTGTATTCCTCGGTTTAAGAGTAACTTTCTCACTTTTTGAGAAGCGCATCGTATACTACGCGTTTTCATTTACCATAAGGAAGTGTATTTACAGGTCAAAATTCACTCGGGGCTTAGTGATCAAGTACAATAGAATAACTTGCTACTGGAGGGGATCTGAAATTTTTCAAAAACGGGGTCTCTCATTCTATCAGGGACGCACAAAGAGCCTGTCAAGAAGTATCTCTTTTAGGAAGAACTTAAGGATTTTGTGTAAGTTTAGCCTATACGAAGCTTCATGATCCATAACTGAAAGTTTTAGCTTAAGTTCGAAGCTCGTTTCGGCAATTCAGCGTTGGAAAGTTTGTACATTTTAACACTGAAAAATAATGCTAATATCTTCAAGATCCTCGGTTGAAAAACGACTCCAGTTGATTCAGAATTGTTTTCTGAGGCACAGTATCAACAATAAATGCTACTGAGGGATGAAATGAAAAAGATTATCAACTCTTCTCAACTGAGTCAAAGAATTTAACGCCGAGTAGGAACGTCGGATCGGAAGAAACACGTGATACAACTATTTTGACTTCCGAGAAGATATAATTGCATATCCACAAAATGAAGGAGAATCGTATTTCGACTGGCTTAGAGACTTCAACGCAGGAGTAGAAAGGTTTGATGGGGCAAAACGCGTGATGCAACTATTCCGACTTCCGAGAAGATAAAATTGCATGACTACGAAATGGAGGAGAGTCTCTTTTTGATTGCCTCGGGGACTTTAACGCAGGAGTAGAAAAGTTTGATGGGGGTAAAACGCGTCAACTTTTCCGACATTCAAGAAGATAAAATCGCACATCTACGAAATGAAGGAGAACATGGTGTTCTATGTCATTCAAATTATTTGATTCGTCAAAACCCAACATTCGGTTCGTGTAACTAATAGTTCGGTTCGTAAAAACGAACTTATGAGAGAATTTTGGTTACATGAACCTAACGTTAAGTTACACGAATTTTAAAAAAAAATAGCACGAGGCTCCGGCGCTATTGTACCTTTACTTCTCATGGAAACTTTTGATTGAATTGTAGCTCCATAAATATGTTTGCCAATTACTATTTAAGTTCAAAATTCAATTCCAAGTGAACCATTCTTACCAGAATTGCCAACTTAGGCCAACTTTGAATAATTTTTCCTCTTTTTTTCTTCCACAAATATTTTAATTTTCCCGAACTTTACCGGGAATACATGCTAGTTAGAATACTGATTACTAAAATTGATAGACAAAGATATGGACAAAGAGGACAAAGAGGACAAAGGAAATAAGAAAAAAAACCTATTGATTGAAGCGAGTGGTTGCAATGCAAACGAAAGGAAGTAAGTAATAGACTAGCTAAAAGCAACCCACAAGGGACCCTATAGTTAGTCCATCTTTACCCCTCAGTCTAGAACAACCACCCGTTTCAACCAGTAGAATCGCTCCGTTTTCCTTTTGTCTTCGTTGTTTATCGCTTTGTCTATCCATTTCAATAATCATCCCGCAGGCGAATGAAAGATACGGATACTTACACAGGCAGGTGCCGCAGGTGAGAAAGCTTTCATTAAAATCTTCATAGTTAATGGAGACCGTTTCAACGAGGGTTGAGTTCATTCTACACCCAGTTCTGCAACAGAGAAAAGACGAACATCTGCCGTTAGAGAGCTATTTCGAAAAAGATAACACCTCATTGACATAGCTTATCATCAGGGGTCACACTTACTTGCCGCCCCTCGGACGAAAAAAAAATGAACAGACTCGGCGGTAGCAATTCTTGCAAGTTGGTAACATCGCATGGCTTCACCAATTTATATGCCTGAAAAACATTCGACAAACCTATACTGAGACAGGCTGCCTCGCGTATAGAGTTGCTTTAAAGGGAAGAAAAAACAGTGTTATATCGATAGTAATAATCGCCGCTTGAACAGAGTTCTGGAAAACCAAGAATTTCAGCAAGTCAGGGAATTCTTCCCCCGATTTTGTGGACAACATGTGTATTGCTGTGTGCAACACATACTCATTCTGATGTTTATTCCTCTCTTTCAATATTGCACTTCAATTTTTAACCTCCAGTGGCCATAATCAGAGGGTATGGATTCGATCGACATGAATCGATCGACAAAAATTAAAAAACTGGTGTTGATTCGATCGACATGAATCGATCAAAAAATATAAAGATAAACCGATCGACATGATTCGATCGACACCGATTTGATCGACAAAATTCCATCGATTCATGGGTTTTCCGATCGACTCGCGGGTTTTGTCGATCGATTCATGAGTTTGTCGATCGATTCACGGACTTTATCGATCGATTAAGGATTTTGACGATCTATTCACGAAGTTGTCGATAGATCCACGTACTGGAAAAAAAACACATTGGAGTCCAGACTCTTAAAAACATCGACAAGAAAAAATACTCTTGATTCAATCGAATTTTTGCTTAAGTCAAAAACCAAGCCTCTTAATTTGAGCGGATTTCCTTTTGATCTAACCAAAAATCCGATTGAATCAAGAGTATTTTTTCTTGTCGATGTTTTTAAGGGTCTGGACTCTAGATCCAATGTGTTTTTTTTTTCCAATGCGAGTTTTTCAATCGATTCACGGAGTTGTCGGTCTACTCACTGTTGACGATCGAATCAACACCGGTTCTTCAAACATTGGTCGATAGAATCGGTGTCGATCGGTTCACGTTTTTATTTTTCCATACACTCCGTCATACACTCCGTCATACTCTCATACTCTCCCTATAAAGGCTTTCCAGCCCACAGCTGAGGCTACAAAGCCCAGTCAGGAAGACGGAAGAGTGAACCGCTGCAGTGGAAGGAAGCGAGGCCCTGATCTTAGCATTGCCTTTTCTGCCGAGTTTTTCCCAGATCCGAAGACGTGCGTCTGGTTTCGGCTCGTCGCTGATGCGTGGCAGTGGCGGGCAGGTGGACATCATGCGACCTGCGCGGACAGCTAGACTAACTGGCTCGGTGACGTCCGCTGCATCTTGATGCCCGATCCAGAAACGACAACGGCGACGCGACAGCTTATTTCCACGGCCCGCTCCCGCCCCGCCTTCCCTGCCGATGGAAATTCATTCGTAACGACGTCACGTAGCCCGTAAATCGCTTCGATCCGCTCGACTCTTAACGAGCTGAGGATATTCTCAAACTTCCTGCCTTTTAATTGCGTCGCATGTGAAATACAATTTTTTCTTTCTTTCTTAGGCATATTGCATTCGTCTACTTAAAAGTAATGATACGTTCGACTTCACAATATACAGTAAACGAGTAAAAAACGGTTTGCATCGGAGACACAAGACCCAAAGTCACAGGCGGATCCAGATGCACGGAAAAATGAATCACAATCCCAGCTATACTCCTGGCTGATTTTGGCGCCAGATATAAGGGTAGTTTCACTAGCCAGAGGTATGGTTGATCCAACCACACTTACGGTAGACTCAACCGTACCTCTGACTGGTGCAACTATTCTTATACCTGGCGCCAAAAGTAGCCAGTACAGTTGGGATTGTGATACTTTTTTCCGTGTGCTTCGAACGGTAGGGGGCGAAAGGTGAATCCAGGGGACTTCCCCTAGAAAATGTTCGAAATTTTGAGGAATCTGAAATTCAGTTTGAGTCAATTTCGTCATGAAGAATAATTAAGTAATAAGCGTCCTTTTTTTGCCATTCCTCTGTTCCTTCCTACTTTTGTTCCGGAGGGGTGGGGGGGGGGCGGGCATGGATCCAACTAAGACCAAAGCCCTATGCCTACCGATTTAGTACCGCAACAAACCCCGGTTTGCGTCTCAGCCCTAAAGCGGTAAGTGCAGCAAACAGAACAGTTACATTTTGACAATTTATCTACCCTCCTACTCGTCGTGTGTTTCCGATGCAAAATCGTCTTTAGGGTGCATATAATAATGCGACACAGCAGGGCAAAATGTGCCNATTTAGTATTG